TCCTGGAGCTGAATTCCTTGAGTTTAATGTGGGGATTTGAACTCAGAGAACCAGACCACTCCCCACCTCCAGTCTGTCCTGTCTTCTTGCATTTATTTATTTGTTTTTTATTTGTTCATTTACTTACTTATTCACCATATATAGTACTTGTGGTTTAATATCAAGAGAGAAGGGACCTTTCCTTCCTATATTTCCCCAGCCTCAGCCTTCCTTCGTTCAGCCCCACACCTCCCCACACCCCTCTCTCACCATCTGTCCCAGCTGGTGGCTTCCTGGAAGCTCCTGGCCTCCTCAGTACATCTCCAAAGCCTGGTTCCAGACGTGCTCTGCACCTAGTAGTTCCTGTGGTCAGCACCCAAGGGTCTGGCTGCTGGGGCCAGGGTGGCCAGTGTCCAAATATATTCTTGGAAAGGCTCTGACTTTGAGTGCTTCTCCCAGAGTGAGAGTCTAGGAGGAAGACACAGCCACCGCCACCTCCTCAGAGTGGAAATAATAATTCACCCCAGGGACTTTGCACTGGGCTGGGCTGTAGAATGAAAACTGTCAGGTTGCCTTGTTGATAGTGCTCAGTGCTGAAACCACTGTTATCTGGAAGAGGGAATCAAGTCAGGTTCAGATCTCTGGGTCGTGCCCGTGTTCACCTTACACAGTTAGCTGATGAATCTTCATCTTCTGTTTAGATCCCTCATTCTATTAAAGATTTGAGGGAGATGGAATTGAACACTGTGGGCAGGTCACCCTTCCTGTGTCATTTGTAGCTACCACAACATCTTAAGCTCGCTGTCTCAAATTCAAACAGAGGTATAAAATGTAAAGGTGTGACCCTCACTTTTTTGATTTGCTCCTTTATCTCTTCCTTGTTAACTCTCACTGACGGATGGTTTCATGTGCTTCCCAAATCTCCTTCTTTATTCCGTCATATATTTATTTATATAACAGATCTTTTAAAATTTTTTAATGTTATTTTATGTATACGAGTGTATTGTCTGCATGGATGTAAGTTCGCCCATGTTGTGCAATGCCCACAGGGGTCAGAAGAGGGCGTCAGATCCCCTGAAACTGGAGTTGTGGGTGGTTGTTAATTGCTATGTGGGTGCTGGGAATTGAACCCAGGTCCTCCGTGTTCACCTTACACAGTTAGCTGATGAATCTTCATCTTCTGTTTAGATCCCTCATTCTATTAAAGATTTGAGAGAGATGGAATTGACCACTGTGGGCAGGTCACCCTTGCTGTGTCATTTGTAGCTACCACAACATCTTAAGCTCGCTGTCTCAAATTCAAACAGAGGTATAAAATGTGAAGGTGTGACCCTCACTTTTTTGATTTGCTCCTTTATCTCTTTCTTCCTTGTTAACTCTCACTGACAGATGGTTTCATATGCTTCCCAAATCTCCTTCTTTATGCCGTCATATATTTATTTATATAACAGATCTTTAAAAAATTTTTAATCTGTTATTTTATGTGTACGAGTGTATTGCCTGCATGGATGTAAGTTCACCCATGTTGTGCAATGCCCACAGAGGTCAGAAGAGGGCGTCAGATCCCCTGAAACTGGAGTCGTGGATGGTTGTTAATTGCTATGTGGGTGCTGGGAATTGAACCCAGGTCCTCTGCAAGGGAAGCCAGTGCTATTAACCTTGGAACCATCTGTTCAGCCCATATATAAGAGATCTTAATCTCTGTCAATGTACGTTTTCACAAATATCTATGCTAGTCTGTTTTAATGAAATTAAATCTGGTCCTTAGGCGATCTGGTGGTACTAGTTGGGTTTCATTTGTGTTTAGAGCTTCTTCCCTCTTTTCCTTGAGTAGTGATTGTGCAAAGTCCTTCATGTGTTTGTCCCTCTGGTTCTCACACCCTTTCCTCCTGCTCTTCTGTGACGCTCCCTGAGCCTTTGGTGTCGAGGTTGCATTGTAGACGTGTCCCTTAGGGCCGGCACCTCACAGTCACTTATTCTCTGCGTTTGACCAGTTGTGGAACTTTGTAAGAGTCGCCATCTGTTGCAAAAAGCAGCTTCTTTGGTGAATGGTGAGGGGTATGTTTGTCTATAAACATAAGGATATGTATTTAGAATACAGTAAGAAATCACATTGGTCTACAGAAGTGATGGACGTACATTCTTCTCTAGGGTCTATGACGTCTCCAGCCATGTGTACTTGGCTGTGTTTACAGTACTACACATGATTTCCTTCCCATTGAGTGGGCCTTAAATTCAGTTAGACAGCTGTGGATTGCTCCCAAGATAAAGTGCTACTACCACACAGATGATTTGCTGTGCTGGTGATTGTCACAGTCACTTATTCTCTGCGTTTGACCAGTTGTGGAACTTTGTAAGAGTCGCCATCTGTTGCAAAAAGCAGCTTCTTTGGTGAATGGTGAGGGGTATGTTTGTCTATAAACATAAGGATATGTATTTAGAATACAGTAAGAAATCACATTGGTCTACAGAGTGATGGACGTACATTCTTCTCTAGGGTCTATGACCTCTCCAGCCATGTGTACTTGGCTGTGTTTACAGTACCACACGATTTCCTTCCCATTGAGTGGGCCTTAAATTCAGTTAGACAGTTGTGGATTGCCCCCAAGATAAAGTGCTACTACCACACAGATAATTTGCTGTGCTGGTGATTATTGTGGTTTGTAGACTTTACAGTCTGGTGGGATCCATTGGTTGTTTTTCTCCCTTGGCGGCTTGCACGGTACCTTCTTAGAGATACCAGAGTGAATTCTGAATTATCTGTGTGACATTAATCATTATTCTGCCTTTATGATGCCATTCAGTTTCAATTTCTAAAGCTTTACACTGTGTTCTCAGACAAGCACGTATTTTTCCACGGTGATGTCCTTCCTCCCCTTTGACTAAGTTAGACCTACCTTCCAGAGATACGTTTCACCTGATGCTGTCTGGCTGACGGCTCATTCCATCAGTCTTCTTAATGTACAATTTTAAATAGGAAGACACCAAGTCCATTAGATCCTGAAGGGAAGTGTGCCAACCTCTGGTTGTTACGTTGCTGTTTCTCCAGTTTAGTATCATCTCAGTAAGAGGTCAAAGGTTTTCCGCAGTCCCAGTACTGACCTAGAGATGGTCATAGCACTGGGCCGTGTCTTTCCTGTATCAGATAATTGACTAAGGCGTGTAAAGACGAGCCCGACCTTTAGAAGCATTGGTTGGTTGTTCATCCATGCTATCTCCCACACTGTTAGCCTTCCTGGTTAATTATGTATCCACACTTCCCTTCCCCCAGCTGCCTGGGCATCACAGCACAGGCAGAGCCGTTGTCTACTCAGTCCAACTTGGGACTCAGTGGCTGTGTTCTTCCATTTGAACTGCTAGTTTTTACTTCTTCAGCTTTGATCCGTTCCACTTTGTTTAGGACCAGGTTCATACACATGCTCATTTCTTCTCTCCTGAGAGTGGGCAGCTCTTAGGCATCTCTGAGAGGACTGATGGACTTCCAGATTGTTTCTCATGGTTCCCAAGTGTGTTCTCCTTAACAGGTCGGAGTACGGTGGCAAATTCTCTTACATGTTCTGATTTTAGATAAAGAATCTTGTGGTCCTCTGGTAGAATAAAGGACTAGTTGGCGCAGGAACCCTTTTTTCTGCGTGACTCTGGCAGTGAATTCTCTTGTGCTCAGTGAGTATCCATTTATCAGTTTATTCCTGTTTCATAAGGGTTTATTGATCAACTACTTTCGAAGGTTGTGGGAATACACACAGAAAGAAGAGAAATGTCACTGCCCTGTGGGAAATCATGTTCTACTGACAAATAAGGAAAAAGTCACGCAGGGTGTTCACAAATCCAGCCTGTCTGGTTTTCTCCAGTCTGCACCTGAAACCGAGGTCCACTCAGTAGGTCTGTACTGAGGTTTTCTGGTGTCACATGACACCATCTTGCTGTCTGCATGTCAGGAGTGGGAGGGAACCAGGTCCCTGATGGGCCGGTACAACTTCTTGTCTGTTAGCTGGTGACTGGTGACATCTTATTGGAGCCGCCAAGCCTCGTCTTTCCTTGTAGCTTTCTAACTGGATTGGAACTGAGAAAGTGAGTTAACCATCAACTCGGGAAGTGAAAGGAAATGTCTCCTTAATACACAAACTCCACAGTATATACAGATCAGAACGCGTCCCCTAATGGAAACTCTAGGCTGTAGTTGAAAATAATGTGTCATTATTGGCTCATTAGCTGTAGCACTTAGTTGGGCGAGATGTTAATAACAAGAGACACGGGGAGGAGGGGGAGAGGGGAACTCTGGAGTGTTTTTACATTTTTCTATAAATCTAAAACTGCTCTTAAAAAATGAAGTCTGAGTTCACTCTGCTCGAACACCCTTTCTTCATAAATTTCTTTCAACTCTTGCAATTTAGGCAACATATCTTAGAACTGTATTTTAATAAAACTATTGGATTTTTAAAAAATGAAGTTTTGGGCTGGAGAGCTGGCTCAGTGGTTAAGGGCACTGGCTGCTCTTGCAAAGGACCTGGGTTTTAGTTCCCAGCAC